AGGGATGGAGTAAGGGGGAGAAGATTAAAGAGATTGAAAATGGTCAAAAATAAAAATCAAAGTAGGATTTGCAATCTGTGGTGAAATGTATGTAGTCTTTGTATTATCTAATCTTTTTTGAAAGAATAAACTGATAGGAGAATCAATTTATTCTTCATCACTGTTTGTGTAATTTTAACTCATACTAGAAACTCAAACTTGAACAGTTGACACAATCACAGTAAGGAAGGTGTACCAGAGATTAGATGTCTTAAGGATTCTTTCATTTCCTTGTTCCTCAAGCTGTAGATAAAGGGGTTCAGCATTTGAGGGACCACAATGTACATCATTGAAGCTACTGCATTCTTAACTGAAGAGTCACTGACTGCAGAACTCATGTACACACCCAAACCTGTCCCATAGAATAAGCAGACAACAGAGAGGTGGGACCCACAGGTGGAAAAGGCTTTATACTGTCCCCTGATTGATGGGATCCTCAGAATAGAAGAGACAATTTGAGTGTAAGAGAAAATGACCCCAGAGAAAGGAACACCAGCAAATAGGCTAGTCCCTAAATACATTAACAGGTAATTGATGAGTGTTTCAGAACAAGAGAGCTTGATGACCTGAGCAAGTTCACAGAAAAAGTGAGGGATTTCCAGGTCTGTGCAGAGGGACAGACGCAGAATCATCAGACTGTGAGGCAGGGCATTCACAGTAGTAACGAGCAGGGAGAGTAGAACCAGCAGGACACAGCGTCGAGCATGCATAATGACTGTGTATCTCAGTGGGTGGCAAATGGCCACATAGCGGTCATAGGCCATCACTGCGAGGAGGCAATTTTCCAGGCCACCAAAAATCAACACGAAACTAACCTGGGAGAGGCAGCCTGTGTAGGTGATGCTCTGATCTTGTGCTTGGATGTTCACCAGCATCTTTGGGATGGTGGTCGTGCTTATACAGATGTCAGTGAAGGACAGGCTGGAGAGAAAGAAGTACATGGGTGTGTGGAGGTGGGAGTCAGAGCTGACAGCCAGGATGATGAGCAGATTCCCGAGAATGGTGACCAAGTATATAATCAGGAACAGGCAAAAAATGAGGGGCTGCAGTTCTGGATCATCTGTCAGTCCCACAAGAAAGAATTCTGAAACAAGTGTTTGATTTGTAAGCTCCATGCTGCTCATAAACCTTGCAGAAAAGATGTGACAAAAACATGAAAAGAAGCAAGAACATCACATGGGAACAGGGAAGGTCTAAAAAATCTTGGCACCATTTTTCCTTTACTGTTGATAAACTCTGGGGATGAGGACCAGCAAAGTAGGTTTGAACAAATGTTCCAGCTGAATTTGATATGTCTAAAATTTGAGAAGCAGAGCTCTGAAAAAAAGAAAAAAAAATCCTATTTATTTTTGAACCGCATGAATATGCAAATATTTTCTCAAATATTCTCTCTCTGCATTCATCTTCTCTACATGTACTCTATATTTTACTCCCTTTTTAAACACCAATAATTTTTCACATATTGTGCCAGATGCTGAAATCTTAACAAAAATAAGTCATGCATGTTCCATTGTAATTATTTCACACTAAAAGAAAGGTACGGATGAGTTTAAATATCTGCCTTCTACAATAATGATCTCCAAATTTTTAACACCTCAGATGAAGGGCTTCTCAAAATTACAGATTAAATAGTTAATGTTTCATTCCCATGCACCTAGGAGGACACATCATAAACATGTTCAGATTGGCTGACAGATAAGTTGACTTTCTTGAAGACTTACTGCTAAGGTCTCTAAAGAGTACAGAACCAGCATCATTACATGATCAGGAAGGCCTTGGAATTACCCCTAAAAATTTCTCTCTGAGTATAGTTCCTACTTTTACCTTGATTTTGAGGTGAGCCCTCTTCTCCCCATTCATTCAGTCTGGTAGATTGCATTCATACAGTGGGACATGAGAAATAATAGAAACCATTGCCTATAAACTTGAACCCCATAAGACTCTGCCTTGGAAATAGAAGCTAAAACAATGTGATTAAGCAATTAACTCTAAAAGAATCTGGATCACAATGTGGATGACACTTGCTGCCACATCCTAAGGGAAATTCGTCCCTTCCTGAGGTAGGTACCCTATCATTAAATAAAATAAACAAATAACTAAGAACAAGAAAGAATGCAATACAGACACTTATCCAAAAATATAGATGAAAAAATTGTTAGTCTTTAGAAGACAGACACCTGTAAAATAACAGGCTGAGATCATCAGAAGTGTTCTAACAAGAGTGTAACTGGAAAGCAATGATCTTCCCCTCGTGGAAAAAAAGCAGCTGTGATATCTGGTGTCACATTAAACTTACATTCTCCAAAGATACAGGTGCTTGTATCAGCTTTATGAATGGAAGCAATCTTCAACTAGAAGAAAAGCCTGGATGTCCTCACTGGATAATGGAAGTGCTAATTATCAGCTATGTGGTAACCATTTGACATTTTATGCTTCTCTGTCACATTGTATAACTCAAATATTCTCAACTTTTATTTGTGAAATTATACCTCATTAAATGTAGGGGAAGCAAAGCTCATCATTATGTTTGAAATTATATGAGATAAACAGAAAAAACGAAGTTACTACCTGGATGGAAATGTGTACTCCATGTTGTGACGTTGCCTATTGTGTGTGTAGGGGGGCAGAGACAGAACAGACAGATAATGTGTGGGTGTGTCATCCATAAAAAAGAACACAGGTTTCATCCCAAAGAAAGAAGTGATTCTAAAATGTACCAATAAGTAATAAGTTGTGGCAGTTCAGTCAAAAGGAAAAAAAAGGAACATCCATAGCTTGATGAATTTAAATTATAGAAAAGAGGTTCTGTACCTCTGGGAATTTTGGTTATGCAGAAAATTAAGGAAAGGAAGAAACATTGATGATATCAATACTTATTTGGCCTGGACATTTAAAATAAATAGCAAAGGAAATGTATTAAAATAGATTAATTAAAAGCATGAATCACAAGAATTATGAATACCTATAGTCCAAATCCTGAGGAAATTTTAAGTATTTTGGACTTTCATATGTATACATTTTTGCTGCCGGTTATCTATGCATAATAGAGGATCTGATAATAATGCAGGACTGACTCCAGACCTGAAGTAATTCACATACTTTACCTATTCACATTTAAGTATTTTTTACTGTGAAAAGTAATAAAGGCTATTTTAAGGCCCTTCACTGTGTTTAATTATATGATTTTTATTTTATTCTTTCTCAAGGGAAATTACCACTCTACCATGATACACATTATTATCTCACAATTTTTATTATGTTTGTTATTTTTTTAAATACATAAAATATATTATCTTTTAAATGTTTCTATACACATAAACATAATATAAATATGACTATATATGTGTGCATATGTATATGCTATTATGCATATATATGCATCTTTATATGCCATTGATACTTGTCATTATTTACTAAATTAATCTTGATATATTTTATCCTCCTTCACAAATCTTAACTATCATGGTATTCCCCTATATTGTCACAAAACAATTTGTTTTCTTGGTGACATATAGTCAAGTTGTTGTTACTCTCATTGGTGTTGTCAGTGTTTTTAATGACACTATCTTTGCTGCTCCTGTTTAAAGTATTTGGTAATTTTAATAAGTAAATCTTTGGAAATAGAAAGCTACTGAGTGATCCTCTCTGCATCTCTATCTCCTCTCCAGAGTCTTCACATCCACCTTTCAGGATTGAAATGGAAATCTCTACATATTAAAGCTACAACCAGCATATGGGAGTAGATAGGAATAGATGATAATGGGGTGAAATCTGTCTTCTTCAAAATTCATATGCCACAAATTCCAAAATAGTAGAATATGCCTGCATATGGAGATCAATTTTTGGAGAATTTTGTACATGTACCAACACATCAAGATGGATGTAATCATTATGTATTGAAAATATGTACTAATAAAATTAAAATAAAAATTAAATCTGGATATTAGGCATTATTAACTGTCTTGGTTATATAAATGCTAACATTATTAGTTACAGAAATAAAGGCAAAACTCCCTTGCAAGAAGACAAGTTATTTATTTAAGAATGTGATCATTAGGGTGAATTCCAATCCAACATGATTGGGTTTCTTTTATGAAGAGAAAATTAGGACTCAGACACCCACAGAAGGAAGAGCACCAGACTATACTGAGCAACAGGGAGCGAGACCTCAGGAAAAGCCAGCTCTCTTTATATACTAAATGTTTAAACTTTGGCCTCCAGAACAGTGACAAAATAAATAAATTTCTGTTCTTATTCTACCCAGTCTGCTAATTTGTTAGAACACCTTTATGAAAATAACAGGCTGATTAATACACTCCCAGCGTCACCAAAATAATTCAAATAAATATGAGAATATTTTATGAAACTCATAATTTGAGATGGAATAGATTTCTATTCAGGAGGAAAACAGTCCCTGCTGCTGTGAAGAGAGAGCAGGCATCTTGCTGAGTGAGAACTGGGTGAATAATGGTGAAAATGTAAATGACAATGTGTCAAGAATGTGAAAATCAAGGGGGCTCATGGGGCATCTGCTTCTCATCATCTTATGCATGTACTTTTATGATGGCTTCCCCTGGATGAAATTGTGGTGAAACACCTCCCAAATAATATACTAAGAGGCTTTAGTTTACCTGATTGAGTTCACTGAGAATCATGCTCAGCATCTCACCTGAATGTGCAAAATAGAAGACCTGAGTCAAGAGAGGAAGACTCACAGACTTAGTGGGCTTGGAGCAAACAGGCTCATCTTCAGGAAACAGGGCAGCTGTTTCTACCTGACCGGGCAGTGATTAAGGGTAAGATACTCACTGGCCAACACTTACAGTGTCTCTATCCCCCAGAGATCAATATCCCAAGCTCCTCATTAGACCAAAAATGTTTCTATTATTCTGTTCCCAGGTGAGATATTCTGAAAACCAACTGTGTAGAAGTCAGGAACTCACAACGGCTGATTCTCTGACAACAGAGGGAAGGTGTCTTATACAAACCTATTCATGATTTCTACTTACCTCCATTTCAACTGTCTTGTGCACATAACACATGGAACTTATTGTTCCTTATATTTCATAATAACAAGGAGCCTAATTCATAAAATACACACATATACAAATTATGCATGTAAATAAGTATGAAACAATTAAAAATATTCACAAATGTTTCTTCACAAATGTAGCATTTCTTGAACCTAATTTTTGTTCTATATATTTAGCTCAGAATATTCCATTTTGACTGTAATTATTAAAGGGATATTGCTTCCTAATTATAATTTATGAATATTTTTCAATCTGTCACGTGTTTTAAATGTACATTTCTAACATTAGAAAATGGTAAACTTTCTTTATGGCAAGGTAGTGGTCCATTGTGTGTAAATACAGTCTTTATCCATTCATCTGTTTTTATTTATTTATTAATTTTTAGTTTATTGATACATTTTAGGTA